TACAGGGAGTTTACGAGCTCAATAACGCCCCTATAAACTGGACTTATCCAAAAGTTCCAATCATGCCTTATGGACATTTTAGGTTCAGACTCACGGTTGGCAGAGCTGAAAATCTATTTGCTTGCTTGGTGGTAGAATGTTATACAGTACCGAAAGTGGAGTAGGGTAGGGTGCCCTATGATGGCCACTTGAAGAGCACGCCTTCCCCTCTTCTTTCACCAAGTCTCAACTATACGTCACAGCCGTACCAAAACAATACATGGACGTAGTAGAAGGTTCAAAGAATATGCCACTGTTCGCCAAAACCGAGAAATAAAATTTATTCATAGAGAAAAAATATATGACAGAATCAGTTGATTTTGCCTATTGATGGCCACACTTATCCCATTGGTGGCCACCCTCAAAATTACTGGAATTAGCGTTACTGAGTCGTGGCAGGCCAGCTGTGTCACGTAATGGCTCGAACAGCAGTTACTTTGGCGTTGTTCTTAATTTAAAACCAGAACTTTACTTGTTTTTTTGTGCTTGAAAATATCCTTGTTTCAAATTCTGCATGCTCTTAATTCAATACCCGTATCGCAAGTCGAAAATCAAGAACATTTACGAAATTCCCTGTTCTTAAGCGGAAGAGAGAGGAGCAGAGGGGAGAAGGGGAGTTTACTGCTGCAGCTCAAGGTACGTTTCCGAAAGTTATGAGTGTCTCTCCCTCTTTCCGCACGCGTTTGCGAACGCGTTCCACGGCGCACCGGTGCGAACCCGGGCGACCGACGGCATCGGCCAAACACCACGTCGCGCCACGCCAGGCAGGCACGCAGGCAGGCAAGCGGCGCCCGCAGACAGAGCGAGCGAGACGACGTAGTGTGGGTAGTGTTCGCAGCAGACTAATAATGTGCAACGCCGAAGGGGATAAAGAGTTAGAGAGGAGTCTGACCGAGTGAAAGCTGGCTCGACTCATCCCAATCTGCAAAGGTATGACTTGTCCCTCAAACTTTGAAAATTATCAGTACACCCACAGTACAGGTGCCTCCCGCACCAGCCGGGTCGGGGGCCAACGAATCCCCTTTCTTTCCCCGTTGTCATTGTGTTTGTAAAGTGCGTCTGTTTCTGTTCGTGCTACTGTTGTGTCCGTGCGCAAGAGAATCAGTAAAGTTCCCGTCCAAGAACGATGTCTGCCCCCCCCCCTCTTCTTATCCCCTGTTCAGATTGCTCGACACTCGATTGTGTACGTTTGTATACACACGTCCGGGTGGGTACTGCTCTGTCAGCCGACGTATTTACCTTCGTCCCCGTGCAAAAACGACCAAATTGTCAATTTTGGGGGCAATAACACTGCCATTTCGATTCCGATCATCTTCGGGCATAAAACATTTTCGTTTTCTTTTGTCAAGATGAACCCGAAACAATAGTTACCTTTTCACATTTCTTCCAAACCACTACACCTCCCCCCCTCCAAATTACGTAAGTAAACACGTAAACCATTCCAAACATCACTTTCGTTCAGTAGACTATGCTGAAGAATGCTTAAACACCTCAACTGCAGAATCAATCACCATAAGTCTGCAAACCAAGCAAAAAAGAGCACTAACGGTCACGTCAGTCTACTGCCCTCCAAATATGAAGGTCAAAAAACCAGACATTTTCAAGTTACCCGGGCATAAGCCATCGGTAATAATTGCAGGTGACCTCAATGCGAAAAATGTTACCTGGGGACACAAAACCACAAATTATTATGGAAGATGGATCGAGGAATTTTGTGAAACATAGCAACTACAATTGCATATACCCGAAGAACCAACAAGAAACGCAAATAGCCGTACAGACATGGAAGATGTACTCGACTATGCTATAACATCTGAGAATATACAACTTGAACAAAAAGTACTAAATGACGCCTTCAACACATCAGACCACATACCCATCCTCCTGTCAATACGATCACATCAAGCACACTCTACAACAACAGAACAACAATATGACACCCGATGGGACCTGGTACAAAAAGAAATAGATCGGCCATACATATTAACAGGTGACGTAGAATATGATGTCAATCATTTCACTGCTACGCTCCAATCTGCATTATTAAACCACACCCGGACCAAAAAGAAGAAAACATACAAAGTACACGCAGACAAAGAGGTACTGGAAGTCACAAAAGAAAAGAAAATGGCAGACAAAAAATATGCAAGAACAAGAAGTATCTTAGACAAGCAGGCCCAAAAGAAACTCAAGAGAAAACTCAATAAACTCCTGAAAACCAAGGAAGAAGAACAAAAAATAAAAAGAATCTACAGCCTAAACGACCCTCTCCTGCGATGGCAAACGCTGAAGAAGGGCAAACCAACACCACCACCCATACCAACCCTCGAGAAGGATGGAATTCAGGCGAAAACCCTCAAGCAAAAAACAGAATTCTTAGCAAGATCCCTCAGTGAAAGGTTTAAAGAACACAACACAACACAGGATCCCAACCTCGCTACAGAAATAGACGATTTTATCAACAACCTTCATCTTGAGGAAGATCAAGCATTTCCTGAATTTACAATGGCAGAACTAGACCTAGCAATCAAGCATATGAAGAAAAACAGCGCCCCAGGACCAGATGGGATCTCAAACGCCTACTTGAAAAGACTACCAGACACTGCAAAGAAACATCTCTTAAACATCTTTAACCTAATCATCAGCAAAGGAACGTACCCATCAGGATGGAAGCTAGCCGCTGTAACAATGCTACCGAAACCAGGAAAGAACCTAAAAGATCCCGCATCGTATAGGCCTATCTCACTATTACCTTGTATGGGGAAATTGATGGAAAGACTAATTCTGACCAAAATCAATCTCACGCATATTCCCGACTATCAGTTTGGTTTCAGAGCTAAACACTCTACCGTAAGCCAGCTCACAAGACTTACCTCAGACTGCACAAGATGCTTAAATAATAGGCAACCACCGCTACTAGTATCCCTCGACATCGAAGCAGCCTTTGATAAAGTCCCCTACAGAGAGCTTCTATACAAACTAAGCAAAACAGGTCAACCAAATTGGTTCATATGCCTGATCAAGAGTTACTACGAAGGAAGACAATTCTACGTCAAAATAAAAAATACCAGCTCGGCTATCATGGATATAGAGGCAGGCACTGCGCAGGGCGCCGTACTCTCACCCATCCTCTACAGTCTTTACATCTCAGACATGCCAGTCGTCGCCGACATGAATATCTACCAATACGCGGACGACACACTCTTTATGGTAGCCAAAGATGACTGTACTTCAGCGTTGGCAATCATGAACAACCAGC